TGACTTCGGTCATTTAAGATGTAATTAACTATAGGGGTTTGCCCTTATAGGAAGCTTTTCCGAACCCAGCTTAAAATAAACTCTATTTAATCATTTGTATTAAATAGGGGAATTTGTCGGCAAATAAAACGGTTTCGCAGACCCAAACGGACGTCATATGTTTTCTTAGTTTATTTGATTGAGCCTCATCCTCAAATCTTGTGTTTACCCCTCGGGCTAGATACAAGATTTGAGGTAGAGCGCTCTTTCATTTAAACTGTGAAAAATATGATGTCAGTTTGATTTCATATTTTTCTAAAATTATATATATATATATACGTAAATTAAAATGTCCTTCCGAAGCAGGCGATGAGATTTCAATTCCGGCTGCCGACAGCTTCTTACGGGCGACCCCCCCTCCCCAAAACAATCTTTCTTTCTTTTAAGTGCCGACAGGTAGCAACCACATGTGATATTTTATTAATGTTTGAATCCAAAGAATAAAGGATATTAGAGTTGACCAAACAAGGGAAATGCAACTTTTATTATGGCAAAAAAATAAGGGGTTGCAACTACCACATATTGAAATAGGAAATACAGAAGACACAACATAAACACCAAACTAGGGCTTGAATCGAATGTCGTGGTAAGGCGGAGGTAAGGTGGCTGCTGTTGAGGGAGATAGGGGGTTGGGATGGGGGAGGCCACGACAAGGTATGTCAGGTGGTAGGCAAGGAAGCAACAAGGAAATGGTGGAGTTGGCGGTAGGGGAGCAACAGACAAGGAAAGCTGGAGGCAGGGAAACAATAGGCAAGCTGGAGGCAGGGAAACAATAGGCAGTCAACAGAGCCATTTGACAGGGTTGCAACATCAGGTTTGGCGGTGTGAATGAAGGTGGGGAAAGCAGGGAACAGTCGATAAACACCACTTCAGGACGAGCTACAACTGAAACACCTTTTCACATTCATATTCAACCATACGAGGGAAAATTGGAGACTTCAACAGCTATCCCAACAGAAAATAGATTAAAAAAACTCTACTAAACACACATATTCCATAGGGCCAACCTGGAGACGCACTGTGTTAGTCTACTGGGTTAGGGAGCTTCGATCGCGTTTGTCTAAGCTATTGTTGGCATGTTGAAGGCGGCAGAACTGTTGTAACCTCCCAAGGCGGAAGGATCTTCAACTACGGCCCGAGAAGTATCTGGATCCCACTGACTACCACATTATCTGCCAATGCACCCGAGTTTTCCTAACTTGCAAGCAAACATTGATATCGGTCTAACTCTCTGGGGGGTACATTGCTGAATTGAAATGGGACTTCGTGCCACGTATATTTTGTTGAATCACTCAAAAGAAGCCCATGGATGGCTCAACCCACTCTAAAGTGAGGAGAGCTTGAATCTCTTAGAACAGTGGCGGCCATGATGGTAAGTTGTTGAGCAGGATATCCTGAAACTCTCTCTATATTTGTTGGTTTGTGTCTGAAACCAACTCTTCTGTCTCGTTGTCCTTTGTCATCTCCAAAACTTGGCCCACCGTTGCTTCTCTATTGGTAAGGGCACATGTAATCTCGGACTCCATAGGATGTAGAAGGACAATGCATGCCATCCTTGGTGAAGGAGTATGTGTTCTTGTGCCCATCACGTTCAGTCTTGCGATTAAATTGTCAGTCTCCCCAACAAAATGTGACAAACATTAATGGGCATCTCCTATCATGTTACACCACACTTGATTCTGCAGCTGATTCACAATCTAAAACACCATGAGACACCTCTCATCAATGTTGATCTTGTTCTCCTTCTTCAACTATATCAAGGAGTACGATTAGAAATGTCTCTGAGTTGTGAGGCTCAACTTGTCCACCATATATTTAGACACTACATTCTTGTTGCTCCCTCCGTCGATGATGAGACTGCGTTTTTTTTTCTTCATAGTGTATCGTGTCAGAATATGTTGTGGCGAAGCCACTATTGCTCACGTGTAGTCTTAGTCTAAAGGACTCGTCGAATCATAGCCATTCTCATCCTCATCTAGTAGAAGTTGGTACTGACCTTTTACTTCAATTTCCTTTTTGTTGCTAACTTTGTCCACTGCTCCCTGCTCAGTGCAGGGCATTTTTGTTGCTAACTTTGTCAATTACTCTGCTTGTCGAGCAATTGAAAGCGATGTGTCCAAAGTTGCGGCTTATGAAACATTTTCTGGTTGGAACCGTATTTGGTGTGTTGCTCTTCTCAGGCTTCTCATTCTGAGCGGCCTTGACCTGCTTCTAACCACTCTTTTCAACCTGCGGAGGCGTTATCTTACCGATGTCTCTAGTTGTGGGTGGTTGTCTGAATGGCGGTGGGCGTCTGTTGTGTTTCTATTATCTGTCCACCTTCAGTTCCAAGTGTTGAACATCACCCAAAGACCAGTAAGGCTATAATTGAACCATGTTGCTGATGGAGGGCTTCAGACCTTTCAATTACTTGGCTATCGTGTGCTTCTCTAGCTCCATTAAATCACATTTCAGCTTAAATTGCATAAGTTCTGTGATGTATTCCACTGATGACTCCCTATGCTGCAAATAGTAGAGCCTCAAGAAAAGATCTTGATGGCAATGTGAGGGTAGGTACTATCGCTTCAACTCCCTCTTCATTTTCTCCCAAGTAGCAATCTTGCTTCGTCCTCTATTTCTCTCTCTTCAGATTCTCCCATCACAACGAGATGCTTTTCTTCAGCATGATAGCAATTAATTTAACCTTTCAGTCACATGATACCTCCTTGTGTTCAAAGACCGTCTCAATGGTCTGCAGCCAATCTATGGGGTCATCTGGATCATCATTCTCTTTAAATCCGATATGTACACTTTCGCTCCTGAGGCTCTGTATCCTCCAACAGGTACTCCATCTTTGCATCCTCTAACAGACACTTCATCTTTGTATCTTCCAACATGCACTCTTCCGTATCCTCGAACAGACTCATCATTTGTTATCTTCTAACATGCACTTCATCTCTCAACCTCCTCTGATATTGTATCTCAAAGTGTCATGGTTTATCTTTTTCTCCATTGAAATTATCTCTTTGGAAGGGATTCAAGTGTTTTTTCTCTCTCCTCCTCGGATCTTGCTACCACGTTCACCGGTGACCTCTCCCTGAGTTATTTACTCAAGCTCAACAAGCAGTTGTAGCACTCGGCAAAACTCCCGCTGCGTCTCTTCCATGGCAAACTTCTAATCAACTTCCAACAATTGTCTCCTTTGTGGCATGATTAGTTTTAGGGCCAATGGGGTGAAAGGGTATGTAGGTGTGATGTAGGGTTGGAAAGAAAAATTTTCGGTGCAGATAGGGTTGGATATGGGTGGATACTAGAAACCTTAGGATATGAGTAGAGTTGGATTAGCTATAATACAAAATAATATCAAAGTTTAACCAAACAACAAGGAAATGCAACTTTTATTACGGAAAAGCAAATGCGGGTTTACAACAAACACACACCGAAATAGAAACTACAAAAATCACAACCCAAACAACAAACTAGGGCATGAATCGAAGGTGTTGAGAAGGCGGCAATAAGGTGGCTATAGTTGAGGGAGATATGAGTTTAGGATGGGGGAGATGACAACAAGGTATGCGAGGTGGCTTATGATTGGACTGCGACAAGGAAAGAGGAGGTTGGAAAGGGTGGAGCTGGCAGCAGGGGTGTAGCAGGCAGGGAAGCGTCATGTAATCGACAGAGTTATTCAATTGGGTTACGGCAGTAGGTTAGGCGGCGGGGAAAGCAAGGAACAGTAGATAAACAACATGTCGGGACGAGTTACATCCAGAGCACTCTCTTGCCTTTGGATACAACCCTAGGATGGAGAATTGGATCGTAGACGCCTATCGCGATAGAAAACCGATAAAAAAAAGTCCCCTAAACACAAAAAATAACTTATAAATACTACTAGGTAACTGGAGGGAGAGGGGGTGACACTCATATTTGGGCGGCAACCCTATTCCCTATCCCTCCTATCTGAACCTGTTCAGCCTCCAAGAGCTTTGCCTGGTTCAGGTCACAAACACACCGTGTCACTATAGTGTGGACCAACACCAACCACTAGACCATCCAGAGGATCGATCATTGAAGAGGGAGAGTAAAAGATTGCGGCCTTACCTTTGAAGGCAGATACAGTACAAACTGGAAAAAAGGGTCCGATGGGGCTGTCATTGAGGAGTAGTGCGAAGGACATCTTAGTTGTAATGTCAGCAGGCTTTGGGTTGATAGCTGGAGGTGACAATGAGCAGAGGGAGAGGAAGATCACTGAATAAGCTAGCATAGGGTTGGCTGTTGACGGTAGGCCTGCTGAGGAGGTCAGGAATCATCCCGCCCTTGGTCCCTTGTTACTTGGTTGTTTAACTGTATCAACTGGTTGGAAATTAATGCCTTCCAGTAATCTTTCTGATTTTAAGGGTGTGATGTGAGAGAATTTTATGGTTATGCTACTAGTTAGTATTTCATATATCCTATTGATGCTGACTTCTGCACATAAAATTTATGGTCATTAATGTATATTTATTGATTAATGGACTACCTAATAAATTTTTCTGTCATTTCATTTTACAAATATACGTTCTTATGTGATACAAATGGCTAAATCTTTTTGGGTTTTATTTGTATGGAAACTTTCATATTTTTGTAGATTATCTCATAATTCTCAATATTATAAGTTATAGTCAGAAAGCATCATTTCAACTGTATTTTAATGTTTATGAAATTGGTGCCTTAAGTGCTGAGTATCTTGGTTCATATATTTCACTTCTTTTGCATGTTTGGGAAATTGACACCTATTGCTTTGATGAGTATGAGCTGTAAGTGCACCAAGTTGGGACATTATTTCTCTTTGCCTTTCCATATTTGATTAAACCACATTGTGTACATTAATGCAGTTGGAGTGATCCTGAGGATTGTTTTTCCTCGTGTAGATTGGCCTAAGATGGAGAACAGAAAAAGAAGTCATTTCTGGGAAAGGTGCTATGTGGAATTTTTTTTTTTATCAATTAAAAATTTATTCATATGTCAATGAATATGAAAATTGCAGTCATAGGAAAAATCTAATATGCTTTGGTTTCCATATTCATTGACATATAAATGCACAAGTTCTTTGATGTCATTTAGAAATTAGAAGTTTTAATATGCTTTTTTTCATGTCAAAATAAACATTTTATTCTTTGGAATAAAAATAGTAAAGCACCTAAATAAATATTTTTTTCTTGTTTTGTATAAAAGCTATAATAAGTTGGCTTAAGTGTCAAATGATCTTTTTGGCATGCGTTTTGTTTGGTTAAACAATGTTCATTTTCAGAACTCTTAACAGCTCCTTACAGAAAATTGATGGAAGCAACTTGCTAAAACAAGTACAAAACTTTCATGCTTTGAATAAGAATATTACCAAAAACAAAATAATGACCAAAACTTCTTAGAAAAACCTTTCCCTAACAACCACTTAGCTAGGTTTAATTATAATTTTTATGTTTTTTTGCTGTTATAGAGGACATTTGTGAAATTCTTTATTGATTTCAATATGTTCCTATTTACTCTGCCAGGGCAATTTAGCTGTGGTAGCAGGCACTGTGATGAGAAGGATGGCTTAGGAAGTTATGAGGTATGCCTCTTCAACTGGTTTCGTTCCATGGATTGTGCTGCAAATATGTATGTAGGCAGGTTATGATGATAGAGAAGACCTACCTTTCCTTATAATTTACTGTGTTTATTGGACTGATCTCTTCTCAGTTTTTTTTATAAGTTTTTCCCATTAAATCTCCCTTTTTCCCTTTCCCTTAGCGTTGCGCTCTCTATTTGAAGCTTCACCTTTAGAGTGAAGGGATGTTCATTTCTGGGAATTTGACTTATGTTTTAAAAATATTAATCTCTTTAAAATAAGCCTCTAAGGATCCAAGTTCAATTTACTGTTTGTTCAATTATTAAAGAGAACTTTATGAAGAATTATTTTTTTGGTTTTGCCACTTTATTTTCCAGGGTCTCAATGCTTCAAATTTTTTTGTTTGGTTTTCTTTGTAGGTAAATTTTTCTTATGTTGAGGCCGGGGAAAGCAAGCAAGCCCTTGTCAAATTAGTGGCTTGTAAAAGGTTTGCTTATTTGTTCTATAAATTTATTCCAGTTATTATTCTTGATGACTGCCAACAATTTGTCAAGCTACCTTTTTATATCATTTAAACTTACAGCAGAACCTTTCCATCTTTGATGTTCATCTATTCTTAGATCTGTATGTGCTATTGTTTTCCACTGTTGAATTGGTAGCTATTTTTAATGGAAGAACCTGATAATGTTAATTTTAGTTCTTTCAATGTAGGTACAATTGTTTGGGGATATGCTGTTGAAGGGTTCTACTCCCCATCTCTTGTTTTGCTTGCTGAAGAAATTCGTCCTATACTCGTGTGGCTCGACCTCCCCTTTTTCCACTAAGGGAATGGCTTGCCCATATTGTCTCTAGCTGAAGCAAAACAGAAAATAATAGGATATACATAGATAATGAAGGCCTAAGACGAGGCACTTTACCTGTCCTGAGGTTGGGTGTTAAACCCCATGAATTTTATGTTTTTAATATTTTCAAGTAAAAATAACATTTAAAATCAAACGAATAGGACGGAAAAAAAATGAATAAGGCTTGTTGGCGTAGGGCTTTGGTGAAATGAGTGACAAGTTGGTATGTAAATCAAGAGCAACTGGGAAGACCTAGTTGAGGGAGTGAAGTTCAAAGTTACAACTTATAACTTACGGAATGCAAGGGAGATGTCAAACTTGTAACTTTGATATTTTCTTTCTTATGAGAGAGTCAAGTTGATATGACTTAACTCTTAAATGATTTAAATAGAAATAAACTTTTTAATTCATAAATTGATTTATATAAAAAGAAAATGTATTTATGAAAAGTTAAGTTTAGTAATTTATTAATTTAATTTAATTAATTTTTTATAAATAGGCGCAATCTTTGAACACAATAAGAGGTAGCTGACTAGCCTCAGTTCTAGGTGTTTTCATTGATGATTTTAATCATGCAGTTACATTTCTTAGTACTCTTTTATTTCTACGCCACTATGTTACTTGAGCTTGCATGTTGAGATTATTTAAAGATTCCAGCAAGTTTTTTTTCTCATTAAATTTGTTATTTATGGCTGCCATCTCAATTTGAAAGGTGTGCAGAGAAACTTGTTTATAAGAAACACAAGGAGAAGGAGAAGCAGCTCAAAAAAGATCAAGAAAAAACCATAAGAAAGCGGTATGGTGTGAACTGTGACTTCTTTATGTAATTGCATTTTTTTTCTTACTTAGAGTTGAGCTTACTTGTTTACTTCTCAGTCAACATGCAAGTATTCTGTTCATTATCAGGAAAATGATTGAGCATGCTGAGAATGGCAATATTGGTGAAGAATTTGAGATGAATCCTGATGAAAAGCGGAAAGGTATGCTTCCGGCTTTCCCTCTGCATGATAATCTAGCAGCTCTTTTATTTTCATTTTAAGAGAAGGAATTTTGTTTGGGTGGATCTTTTTTTAGGTAAAACTCAAATATCATATATATCTCAGTTCTTTAAAAGTGGAAGTGACTTAAAAATTGAATTTCTTTCGTTCTAATTGAAATCAAGTGGAGTAATATTGGCGTGGAGACCTCTTGTCCTTGATTGCCATGTGCTACTCATTTATGCTTGCACTATATGCTCCCTACTTTTCTCCTTTTTTCTGGCATTAGGAGAAGAGCGAGAGCGTCGAGAGGGAAAGACCTTGCTAAATACATTTAATTAAAACAATGTTAGGAGGTTGAGTAGAATATTAAAGGAATTGAGTTGAGTTGAGTTGAATTGACTATTTTCTTCTTCAAGCTCTTCAAGTTATGACTCGAGTTTTAAATTCTTCTTTAAGCTTGTTTATGAATTTTGTTTCAGAATTTTGATCCATAATTAAGACAAACTAACTGTATGTATAATGATGATTTAGCTTATAGCTCATTACTCAAGATTGTTGTTTTGGAAGACTTCATTATAATTTGCATATGTCCTAGGATGTTTCTGATGTATTTTTAAATTCAAAGGTTAATAATTTAAAAAAGGTCTTAATCCATCCATCCATTTTTTTTGCTCAATATTTTTTTTCATTTTTTATGCCTTTTAACAATACTTATATTTATTTTAATCTATATGATATGAAAAAATTTATACGAAAGCATAGATTGAATTTCTGAATAAGCGACTAAAACATCATTTAATAAGTATTTTATCAAGCTTGTAATGAGCTTGTTGTTAAATAATAAACAAACATGTTTACTAACATAAATAGGGGTATAAACGAGCCGAACACTTATAATTCGAGCTCAACAAGTGTATTCGTGTTAACAAGCCGAACACGAGCCGTTCACGAACAAAGAATCGTTTTGACAACCTTAATCACATAGCCAGAAGATGTTAAAGATTGGGGCAAGATTTAAAAATTAATATTTATATTAAAACATCATTTGAAGATAATTTAATAATTTTTATTATATTTTCTTAATTAATACTTTTAATTGATTATAAATCTTTGTAGCCTTGTATTCAATTCAATTTTTTAAAAACACTACTCATCAAAGAAATATATATATATATATATATAATCGATGAACCTAATGGATGATACTTTGGTTATTTTGGGAAATGGCTCGACACTCAACAATTTGTTATATGGATCTCGCCCTAGAACTAGAGGCAGAGACATGACTAAACTAGCTCGTCACTAGCTACTCTTTTCTGCGATTTTGGTACCTTTTTTTTGGGTTTCCCTGTATCTTTTCTCTTTTGGGGTGTTTGTGTGTGTTGTATCGTATGGGTAGGGTGCCTCTATTGGGCCCTCTCATACAACTTCTATGTATATTTCCTATTTTAATAGATTTAACCCTTGGGTTTTTCGATATATATATATATATATATATATATATATATATATAATCGATTAGTAGTATTTCGAGCCAAAGCAAGCCGAACACGATCGTGTTCGGCTCATTAACGAGCCGTATTGACAGCCCTAAACATAAATGAACTGGCTGAAATGTCAATTTTCAAGTTTGTTCAATTATATGATGGGCTATAAAACATTTTTTTTTCATAATTGTTTATTTATCCAAAGAAATAATATAAATGAGTCCTATATAACTGATTGTGGAGCGTAGTAGCTCACTTATAGCCTTAGGTTAGCAGACGAGTAGCATCGGAGGGGTGGGATTGATGATGTTTTGGCTGGGGTGGGCTGGTGGTGGTGGGATTAGCTTTTGTGGCATCAAGGATGATTCGCGTACACAATTGTATCTAAGGAGTGCATGATTGAATTCAAATTTTAGTGCTAATATAATCCAAATAATTTGATTCAAACCTATCCTTATTTAAATTTAAACCTAATATTATTTCAAGTTTCAAGTTTGATATGTTTGGAGGGGAAGAAATGGAAAGAAACTATATATTCACCTTCGAAAATATATTAGATTTCAAGTTACATGTTTTTAGGGATGGCTCCTTTTTCTGGCTGATGGCTCAGGCTTCATTGCTTTGTTGTTGGCCTCGATGGCACACCTTTTATTTTCTTACCTTTTTAACTATTTTCTATAATTGCCTCATATCATACTCTTTCCTTGACCAATAATAAAATTTGTAGGTTGAACAAATTATAAAATAACCCAAATCGCTAACAGAAAAATTATCTTCAAAAGGCATGCAATTATGATTCAAATATGTTATGGCATGGTTTGATCCTTTGTAATTGGCATGTGACCAATTTGGACTGATTTGGCTTATTAGTGGCCGGTATTGCATCAAGTCTCTTAAAGGTACAAATTTGAAGAGAGAGCATTCTTGTAGTCAACCAAAAAGATTAATACATAGCATTTTTAGTTCATTCTTATTTTTAAGTTTTTGCAGTTCATCATTAATCATCTGTGCTATGTCAGTGTCTAGTCTAAGGGTAATTTTGTCTTTTGTATGCCGAAGGGAAATTTTGTCTTTTATTATTGTTGTTGTTCGGTATAAATATGTTTTTTATGTTTAGGGTTGGGTTGGGGAGGCTTGAGATTGGATTGTGAGTCTCAGGTTTAGGGTTTGGGAGAGATTTCCTACCTCTTGAATTTTAGGAATTGAGAGAGATCACCCACCTCTCGAATTGTAGGTGCTTATCTTTTGTATTCTTGTTGAGTTGTTTGAATTATTGAAGAAATATTATGTTTGCCTTAATTTATGTGGAAAAGTGTTGTATCAAATTGGTATCAAAACACAATTTTGGGGAGATCACCACAGAATTGTTGCCAATGTGAGAAACACTCGTTGCCAGTGTGAGAAATAGCTGAGAAGTGTTGACGGGATCCCTTTATGACCGAATCACGCGATACAATTGCTAGCAGGGAGACCACCACGAGATCGCAGTGCATTGAGGCAGCTTCGACTCGGAGGATCGCGGCTTACCGATATCCAAAACTCCTTCGTAACGGATTCCTGCGATAGTCACACTCAGAGCTTGTTGGGAAAGAGACAACAAGATCTCAAAGGGTCAGAGTTTGTTGTGAAAAAGGTGATGCGAAGGATCGCAGCTTACTGAGAATTGAAACTAGCGCCTTTCAGCTTGTGGGGAAGGCCATGAAGAAGTTGAGTCTTCCATTTTTTATGAAGACCAACGAAATCAACAAAATTGCAACTTATAGAGATTCGTAACTTATGTCTCTTCTGTTTACGTGATGTCTGCCTAATACAGTCACGATCAGAGCCACCTGGGAAGTGGCATACAAAGACCCGAAACTCATTTTTCTCTTCTTCTCGTGTCGTCTGCCCGATAGAGCCATGTTCAAAGCTACCTCGGAAGGCAGTGATTAGGAGTTGGCATATGGAGACGTGAAACTCCCATCTTTCTTCCATTCCCATTCTGTAACTCTCATCTTCCTGTTTCAGCTTTTCCCTCGCACAACAACTGCAATTCCAAGCTAGTTGGGAAGGCGGGATCGCAGGCATTTGCGATTGGAGCTACCTAGGAAACCACGATCTTGGATCACTGACTTGCGGAACAATATTTATCTCATCCAGAAGCAGACGATAGATTTCAACATATAAAAATTGTCTTTTGTAATAAAAAAAAATTGGGAAGAATGACAACCAAGAAAGTAGATGATTTGGAGAAGAAATTTGAGGAAGAGATTAGCCAAATCAGATATGGGATGGAAGAAAGGATTGCCACCATAGAAGATAAGTTTTCTTTCGTGGAGAACCGAATAAATGACTGATTATTCGAGAGCATGATGAAATTCGAGAGATGATAAAGAGACTCATTGAGATGCAATCCAAGACCCCGCCGACAGCTCAATTTGTAAAGCTTAAAGGAAAAGAGATCGACAAAAGGAACATGAGAAGGAAAACATCTGCCATCACAAACCCACTCCAGGGCTCTGATTAGGAGTGGATTAGAGATTTTTGATGGAGGCGGTTGGGCCGAATATGGATAAGAGATTATACAAGAGGTATGGTAGAACACGAAGAAGAAATGAGAGAAGCAGGGAGGGGATATGGCTATGATTGAAGGAGAGAGTTTTACCCTTGATATATGGGAGGAAACGACAGAGGGAGAGGAAGTTGGGGGGAGTATTATTACGTTGGTGTCTAACCTAAGGGTAATTTTGTGTTCTGTGTGCCTAAGGGCAACTTAGTCTTTTATTAGTATTGTTGTTGGGTATAAATAAGTTTACTATGTTTAAAGTTAGTTTTACGTATGAGATTGAGTTGTGAGTTTTAGGTTTAGGGTTTTAGAGAAATTTCCTACCTTATGAATTGTAGGAATTGGGAGAGATCACCTACCTCTCTAACTGTTGGTGTTTATCTTTGTAGTTTTGTCGAGTTGTTTGAATTATTGAAGAAATATTGTGTTTGCCCTAATTCCTCTGAAAAGCGTGCCAATTTTGACATTGGATCGTATCACATATGAAGGGGACTAGCCTTTCCATTGACTAAAAACAAATTAGAAACATTGTTTCCCAATTTGAATATATTTGAAATGGCACTGAACATTCAAATAGGCAAGTGGAATTGTAATGAGTGGATTTATAGAAGCTACAATTGTAATAGAAATCCCTCATGTAGAAGAATCAACTTGTTTTTCTTGAGGTTCAAATATTGTTGGATAAGTCAATGTATCTTTAATGTTGAAAATATGATTCATAAACATCTCGATAGGCAAATCTAAAACGTAAGTATTACACTTCTGGGGGCTAATTTGACACATTTATAACTCTCAAGACTGAAATGAACCCCTACAAAGAGTCTTTTTTGACACTTTTATAACTCTCATGACTGAAATGAACCCCTACAAAGAGTCTTTTTTGACACTTTTATAACTCTTAAGACTGAAATGAACCCCTACAAAGAGTCTTTCAGATCATTTTACACTTTTCCCATTTTGTTTTTTCTTATATATTACTGATATACCATTACTGTAAATTACATAAAACATTGCAGCACGAAGGCTTGCATCTCCAAACAGAGATGCGAAGGCTGATGAGGAGAAGGATCTGGATGAGTATCTTGAGGGAATGTTTCCCTAATGCTTAGGATTTCTCCTACAAATAATACAATTGAATTGAGACCGGATGGTCTAAAATGTGAATTATTTGTTGGCCGAATTTGTGTATTATAGGATTGCTTTATTTTCTGCTATTCATTGTAAGAATTTCCTGAATTTAATGACAATTTTTTTATGTCATTACATGTCTATTACTTAAAAACTTCATTTTTATGCATTTATAATACATTGTTGGGGGCATTTACATACATAGCACTCAATTTATATGGATTTATGTATCATGCCAAAACTTTCATTTTTACACTCAATCCTTTTGTTTCGCATCGAAAATAACACTAATTATCACATTTTAATAGTCAAATTTACATTTTTTATGTAAAATGTTGTGCGTGTAAATAAGTTTGTGTGGAGGTACTTAAATCCATAAAAATTTGCTCGCTACGTATGTAATTATCACTATTTACTTTGAAAAAATTAAATACATCTTTTCATATGCTAATAAAATGCTATAAATGTAGAAATGAAAGTTTTAGGTGCTTGATATGTAAATACATGGGAATTGTGTGGTATGGTATGCACTATGCATGTAAATCTTACTTGGTTTATACTTAAATGACGAAATTTTCTTGATATAATTTTAGTTTTCATTGTTGAGGAATTGTTTGGTTTGATGAAAATTATATTAATTGTCAGATTTATTTTTAATCAAGTTATTCGAAAAATATTACGTGTTGCAGACTGCAGGTTCTAACGTGGTCGTGCTGTCGTGCATTGCATGATAGCCCATCTGAACAGTTGACCAAAGATGATATCTATATATATAGAATTTGAAACTCGCAATTTACAAAGTTAACCTTCATATAATTTTTTTTAAACTATAAAATTGTTGCATTTACGCATGTCATGATCAAATCATTAACAATTTGATAAAAAAAGAAAAATACGGGTTAGAATTTTATTGCAACTTTTGATATTTGGGTGAGAATTTGCGAAATGAATGAAATATGATTTTAGTTTTGTAAATAGCAAAGTTTCATGTGCTATTAAAAAAAAAACATTGTTAGTTACAATAAAAAATAGCTGTAAATTTTGTACATGGAAAACTTTTTCTAAATAATTATACTGTGCATAATATCCCCATTGTGTTTCCAAAACAAAATATTACCAACTAGATTTCAATGATGCCTAATTCTTAATGTTTATGATATAACACCTAAATTTTTTTAAATTGCATCAAAAATAGACTTAAGTTCCAAAATAGTCCCCGATAAGAAGGGTATTAATCCCATAATTTATAAAAGTATCAACATAGTCCCCAGACTTTTGAAACTGTGGCTGAAGTAATACACAGACTCTTTAGATTGTGGTTGAAATAGTCCCCACAGAAGATCATTAAAGTTCGATTTTAAAATAGTCGAAGACTAGTCCTCATAAGGACTATTAGAGTTCGAGTTTAAAATAGTCAAATATTATTTTGATGCTTCTATAAACTCTGAGACTAAAAGCCGAGCCTGTTTTGAAACTTCACTCATAAAAAATATCACTCATGCTTGCTTTATAAAAGGGGTGATAGAAATATAAATTCAAAATTGTAATTTGGTATTTATATCTTCCAAATAGCATCACAACCTAACTAATAAGCAATGTAAAGTTGTAATTTTGTCAAAGTTTAACAATATCTAGAGCTTCAATAGGAAAGGCGTGAAGGCCATAAAGAGCCTGAGCTCATTTTTCCACTCTTTCTTCTCTCTTCCAAAAATTTTTTAAGAAAAAAGTGCTAAAATTCTATTTATTTATTACATGTTTATAAATTAAGAGCAAAATGTAAAAATAGTCCATTTACTATTTACATTTGTCATTTTAGTCTCAGAGTTTATAAAAATGTCAGATTGGTCCCCATACTTACTAAATTGAGCTCTAACAGTCATCCATATAGATTCTTTTAGCCAAAATTTAAAAAGTTAGGGGATCACTTCAAGACTTTTATAAATTCTAGGATTAAAATGATACTGTATAAACAGTAAATTTAAGAAGTCTGAGGATTATTTTGACACTTCTATAAATTTTATGACTAAAATTATCCCTTATAAATAGTTCGAGAAGATTTTGGCACTTTCCTCGTTTCTTTTGTATGATAGCAGAATTTTCTATTTTTTTATAATTTTCATTTTATATGGGTAAAGATTCAAAATCTGTACTTTGGATACGTTAATATTTGAAAAATAGAATTAATTTACACTTAATATAGGCAGTGGAACTTTAGGAGATATGTGTAAATTAATTACTTTTTTCTAAAATTTGCAAATTTGGTGGTATCTATTTGAATATGTTGAGATTTTGGTGGCTAAATTTGGAAGAGAGATTTGAACAAACTCAAATCTGAGGTTTATTTAGGAGATTTTAAATTAAAAAATAATAATAATAATGCTACCATATTTCACCTATAGTTGAAAATTTTGATCCATGGGCACAATAAATTGATTTTTATAGGCTGAAGCAGGTATCCAGCAGGTCTTGTGGGCTTGGATGGCCCATCTGAGCAAAAGTTGTCTCGCTCTAGTGCCGAGCGGACTAGCTAAAGTAATTCGGCGACTGGCTTGTCAAACTGTTCCGGTCATTCCACGTGGCGAAAGGTCCAATCAGACTTACCGGCCTAACTTGCCTCATCGACAATCCTAGTAGCTATAGGAATACAACAGTCAAGACTGACATTAAGAATTGACATATGTCACATCCTCATTTATGAGCCTCCTGACACACACATTTCAATAACTTGTATTTTATTATTTTCTTAAACGTGTATAAAAAGGGAGGGGGGGAGACTGTAGAGGGGATCCGCTTTCCAGGCCTTTTTTGGGATCTTCATAGGACCTTTCTTGCCCCTCCTCTCATCTGATCACCTTCACGTATCTGTCATCTTCTTTCACCTTGCTTACACGGATCTCTCCTGAATTCTGTGAACCCACGAACAATACGAGACCCAATGTCCTAGAAAGATTCAACAATGCAGTGCTCTTTTATCGTGTCTTCTAAAGTCAATGCAAGAAGATATTTTTTCAACAGCTTCGGAGTGCGAAGCACAACTTTCGTCGAAAAATCAAATAAATTCTATTTTGAGAAAGTTTAAGTTGCTTCATAAATCTCAACAGCATAGCTTCAGGAGCTAATACTCTTTTATTTAAAAATGCATTATCACACAATATTGCAATGTGAGTAGTTATTTTTGGTCGGTGAAGTAGGTCATGAATGTCTCATTTGTCAATATAAGACTTTATATTTATTTTTTTTCATATAATTTTAGAGCATATTTTGGATTTCAAATCTTATAAAAGAATTACATGCATGCCTCACGATTCCAATACATGTACATATCTAACGCCTATAACTTCAATATCACATTAATGTCACTTTATATATATTATATATATATGTATGTATATATGTGTAAATGAAAAGGGTTCAGAGGAGAAGAATATAACAGAGGAAGATCCATTGCAAGAAGATTGTGAGGCTTACCTGACCAGACGAGCCAAGCTAACTAGGCCAAAATTGACAGAGTCAAAAGATGGACAAAAAGACAATCGAGTGATCCAAATGCAAACCTTTCGACCAAAAGAGAGTCTAAGTCATTCATTGCAGAAAAAACGACCTGATGTGATAGCCTATCCAACCGCAGAGTTGACATAACAAGGAGTTAGTTCCACAAAGTATGTTTGACTATTGACAACTCAACGGGAATCGAAGATAGTCAATCAGGCTGGATCAACCAACCGAACCCTACCGACCAAGCTCAACCAACAGAGTAGACCCAGTCGAGCCAAATCAACTGAACTTAGCTGACCAAGCCAGAAGGCAACTATACGATAAACCCACGCTCGTTAAATACCAAAAATACCCCAATTTGAACATATTCTCCAAATGGGACTAAAAATATATACTACCTCCTCCGTAAATAGGAGGAATATTTTATGAAGAGATAACACTATTCATTAATGTTCATTTCTCTGTCTCTCTCTCCTCATTTATGCTCTATTCTTTGGGTGTGATTTACAAAAACTCTCAAATACAACAATATAAAAAGGTGTATTAACTTTTAAGAAGTTAATAATAATGATATTTTTCATGTGATGTAAAATATTTGACTACTAAAAAATGTAATAAAAAATTCAAAATTAGGTGTTAGTTATCTAAATTCATAAGAATTGTGTAATATAAATGTAAAAAGCCCCTTTTTTTATAAATATCACATAATAATAATCATAATAACAATGATGATGACTTATCTATAGCTTATAACTAAATTTCATATCATGCATATTTATAAGATAATTTTATCTAACTTTTAGGGGCTATAGCTACCCTTTATAATCTCTTGATTCAACTTAACACCTCCTTACCTATCATCAACTTCACCATTAATTGTCTTTGATCCTGCCCACTTAGCAATTAGGAGAAATTAAGTAGACCACATAGTCAGTGCATGAAGCTCATTTCTTTGGGCTATCTTTCTAAGCTAATGATAGTATTACATAAATATTTACACATCTACCATCTAAACTTCAATATGTACATAAATGTCACCTTCCCTATGTATGGCTGGGTGTATATCTCTTCTTAAAAGTTAACAGTCATATTATTTACATGACACAAAAAACCTTGGTGGTATAAATGTAAATCCATAAAAATTGAGTGGCGTGTATGTAAATACCCCAAATAAATGATGTGACATCCATCAAATTAAATGGTGAAAACACTGAGAAGGTAAGAACAGATTATCCACCCATTTCCTAACCCAATTACATCATATTATCGTGTGTTTTGTGAGAGAGATCACACATATATATATATATATATATATATATATATATGTATTTATTTATGATGTAAGAAATCCTTTCTTCTACATTTCTTCTCAGCGCCGAACACAGCCTAATCTCAGATACTCATCATAAATGTGCTCTCTCTCTCTCTACCCTGTTCATGCATATACAAGGAGGATTTACACACATACCACTCAATTCTTGTATATTTACATATGCAACACTTAAAACTTCAAGTTTTACATGCATACCACCTTACCTATACATGAAAAGATCTATTTCACACCTTAAAAGTTAAAAAAATGTTATTTTTGATGTCATATGCAAGATTTAGGTGGTATGAATGTAAACAAGTAAAGTTTAGGTGTTATATATAAGCATGGCAACATGAACATTCTCCCTAAATCATAACTGTATCAGCTCAACTTCATCTACTTTTTTCTCAAAACATGCAGATAAGTTCAGGAGATCTTCTTCTCCTTTCCCTTCTCTTATCTTCTCTTCACGCCATTTCTCCTTCTCGCACCATTGATGATCAGCTTCTCATCTCCCAGAATCATCAGAATGTGTATAACGTCGATGATTTCGGCGCGAAAGGCGACAGAACTGATGACAGAGAAGTAAGCTCAATCTGAAATATTCAGAACAAATAATTTCTGTAATTAGATTATATAATCTTATAAGATCATAACAGGCGTTCATGAAAGCATGGAAGGAAGCATGTTATTCCCATTTTCCTGCATTTTTTTTGGTTCCTGAAAAGAAAACGTATCTTCTGAAACCAGTGAGCTTCTATGGTCCGTGCAACTCCATTGTCACAGTCATGGTGAGCTCAAAATATCATTAATGTTAAAAAAAAAGAAGAGGAAGAAGAAGAAGAATGAAAATCTAAGCGCTTTAACATAATTTACAGATAATGGGGACCGTCGAAGCTTCATCGAACGAATCTGATTGGGACAACGATGACAATAGTGGTATTCATTGGATCTTGTTCAGCAACATTACAGATCTGAATATACAAGGGGGAGGAACAATCATTGGGAATGGTGAAATATGGTGGAAGGATTCTTGCAAGGTCAATACAAATCTTGTAAGTTATAACATGCATTTACATACATACCGCCTAATTCCTATGTATTTACATGACTAACACCTAAAGTTTACATTTTTACATTTATATCACCCAAATCTTTCATACTGCATAAAAAATACCACTGTTTTATGTTTTAAGAAGTAAAATACAGCTTTTAATGCATAAGAAAGGTAACACACATGTCCAAGTTTAGGTATTTATGTAAATCTTCCAAACTATTCAGCAATTTTTGGCCTAGAAATCATCACTAAATCATTCTTCTGTTTGTATTTTTGCAGCCTTGTAGAGTTGCACCAACGGTATGATTTCCGTATGATAAAGTTGACAGAATCAGAATTATAATAAGTATAATTATGTTTTAATTTATATGTAGGCTTTGACATTCTTTGCATGCAATAAACTGAGGGTGGAGAATCTAAACATTAAAAACAGTCAGCAAATTCACATTTCTGTTGAGGAATGCATAGATGTTAGTATTTCAAATGTCATGATTGCTGCTCCAGAAAAGAGCCCAAATACTGATGGCATTCATGTCAGTAACACCAACAATATGGTTATAAAAGACTGTGTGATCAAAACAGGTAAGAATTCAGTAACTAAATTCTGATCAATTAAATCTAGCGAAATTTACATACCACACAATTCTCATGTATTTACATTCATAACACTTAGTGATATTTTTGATGTGATGTTAAGAATTTGAGGGTCAAGCATGTAAATATTAAGGTTTGGTTGTTAGATATACAGATACATAAGAATTGCGTGGTATGTATGTAAATGCTTAAATTTAAATTTTAGAGTTTTGATTAAGTTGTTTCTTTCAAAAAAATAAAATAAAATAAAAGGTGATGACTGCATATCAATTGCTACTGGATCACAAAATGTCAGGGTTATGAACATAGTTTGTGGTCCTGGCCATGGAATCAGGTAAATCTATTTTCAACTGCACAAAATTTATTCTTGTGATTATGTCTGTATGTGTGTGTGTGTGTGTGTGTGTGTGTGTGTGTGGCGCAGCCTCTCTGAAGATCGTAAGCCCCCTTAGGTCCCGGGTTCGAATCCCCTGGTGGCACAATGTCGCCTTAAGCCATGTGATACTCGAATTATTGGCACGCCGGGTCGCCCCAAAACCTAACGGGGGTTGAACTCATAGGGTGGGTTGGGGACCTCACGCCCCAGCCCATTCTTTTTAATATGTGTGTGTGTGTGTGTGTAATGTAAATATTCTGAATATTTCTCCTCTTTATGTGTGATATGTGAAATATGGTATGGAAATCAGCATAGGAAGCTTAGGTGCCAATAATTCAGTTGCAAGTGTTTCAGAAGTCATTGTGGATAATGTAACATTGAGTGGGACTACTAATGGAGTCAGAATAAAAACCTGGCAGGTAATTAGCTTGCATTTATTGATGAATTCTATATATTGGGTGAACAGCAAATATTTTTTAAGAAAATAAAAAAAAATGATATCAAAAAGGCCTTAATTAAATAGATCAAAATTTTCTTAACAAAAATTCCAATTACATGAGAAGATATTTATAATTATAATATGTAAAAATGTTTAAATGGCATCAAATTATATGCATGAGTAATTGATTGTATTAAAAGTATATTTGGTAGTTTTAACAAATAAAATAAATGAATAAAACTTGACTTTTGAAGCTAGCATTTGTAATTGTCCAATTAATCTTATTTTTTTCACATATTTTATAAACAACTAAATAAATAATAAAAAAAACTGAAACTTTAATCAATAAGTATTTTTATTTTTGTAAATTATATATATATATTATGAAAGCATACAAATAAGAAAGATTTTGGTTGAACTAAGTTGAAGCTTCATGCCAATTGTCCCACCTCAAGATACTTAGTTAACTTTCAGTAGTTTTGCAAGGCTGGTAGTTATCAGATAGAGAGAAGGTGAAAATAATTTTATTCACTTAATTAGTAATAGAAAAAAATTGCATTCCAACTCATCTTGTATTTTTATTCATCATATGAAGGGTAGATTAATAAATATAAAAAAATTATAAAAAAAGGATAGGTCAAAAATATAACTTCGATAAAAGTAATGCATTAAAAAATAAACTTCAAATAAACAATAAGGATTCATAAAACGAACTTCACATAATTCTCATCATACCATTAAAACTCCATTTAGGATCCTAATTTGATTTCATTGTAAAATTTACATATTTGATTGTTTTGGCAGTTTCTTCAGTTTCAGGTTTCAATTTTTCTTGTGATATTTCAGTTATTTGCATTATAAATACTGTACAAAAATGGAAGATGTACATACATACCACTATATTCTTATGTATTTACATATCAAACACCTAAACTTCAAGTTTTTACATTAATGCCAGCTTACCTATGCATGAAAAAGTGTATTTCACTCTCTAGAAGTTAAAATAGTGGTTTTGTTTTTATGTGATATGAAATATTTGGGTGGTATAAGTGTCAAATGTAGAGTTTAGGTGTTAAATATGTAAATACATGCGAATTAGGTGGTCTGTATGTAAATGCCCCTAAAAAAATATATCTAAGATATCAAACAAATGGAATTAATCATGATTCAAAGTACAATGAACATAAAATTTAATCAATCCTTAATCATACCGTTCTAGTATAACTTCATTAACTTTACTGAGTTTTAGCAAAATTTTGTCAAAAAAACCCCCCAAACCAACTGAAACTGAAAATATATTCTAACACAAGCAGGGAGGCCAAGGTCATGCAAGGAACATTACATTTCAGAATATAATCATGCAAAATGTTTATAATCCCATCATAATTGATCAAAACTACTGCGACTCTCTGAATCCATGTCATGAACAGGTATAAACACAAACTAACATTAAACATTAGTGTGACTAAATTTTCTTTTTTTTTTTTTCATTTAAAAAATCATCTAATGCGACAATATTCAATCTCAGAATTCGGCGGTGTCAATAAGCCACGTGATATACAAGAACATCAAGGGAACGAGCGCATCGAAAGTCGCAGTAAATCTGAGTTGCAGTAAAACTCTTCCATGCCAGGAGATAGAGATGGAAGACATTAAATTGGTTGGGGAAGGAGGAAAATCAACAGAAAGTTTGTGCAGTCATGTAGTTTTGGCAGAAAGTGAGATGGTTTTCCCTCCACTTTGTGTATAAATCAAAAATATAATTAAAAATAAAACAAAAAAGCTAAGTTCCACTTTATGAAGATCATGTAGATGTAAATTTATAGGGAAATTTACATACGTAGCACACAATTCTTATGTATTTACATACCTCACACCTAAAATTTCATATTTAAATATATAGCAATTTGGTATTTTAAACAAATGCATGAAAAGGTGTATTTCACTCTTAAAAAGTGGTAATAGTACTATTTTTATGTGATATTCAAGATTTGTGTGTTATGTGTGAAAATATGAAAGTTTAGGTGTGACATATGTAAATACATGGGAATTGTGTGCTATGTATGTAAATGCCCCAAATTTATAATACTAACACGGTCAAATAAATATGTTTTTATTTCTATGCTCATGATTTTTTCTATTGAGTTATCTGATTTGGTGACTCAGCAAGTCCTTTTATTTAATATTTTATGATCAAAATATTAGCAAAAAAATAGATAAAACCCGGAGATTTAAGATGGCATTAAGAGACCACCGTAGGCATTTCTGACTTGTTCGCTTGCTTGCAATTTAGTGTGATCTTGAATGAAGTTTGAGACACTAGAACTCAATTTTAATATGGTGCATTTCCATACATACCACCAATTCTCATGTATTTATAGATCTAACACCTAAACTTTGCTTTTATATTTATAACACCCAAACCTTTCATATAACATAACAAAAAAACCTCAATTTTAACTTTTAAAAAGTGTAACGCACCTGCTTCTGCATGGGTAAGTAGGTAGGATGTAAATGGGTAGGAATTGAGTGGTATGTATGTAAATTTTCCTTTTATTATAATAGTAGAGACCCACTAGAAAAGAAGATTAAACTTGTAAGAAATTTCATGGGTCTGGTAATGTGGAGCTTAACAATCCATCTGAAGGTAAAAACTAAATGGCCAACATTTATTAGAAGAGCTTCTCAGTAATTAACTTACAATCCTATCTTAACTCCTCCCAACAAGTGAACAAACCATGGAAAAAATACAAATGATCTTACAGCTCATTCATTAATTTCTTTTATAAAAACACTAATTATGTAGTAAATTAATTTTCTACATTGATGGCCTAAGAGGATAATTTGATAAATTAGAGCTAAATAACCTGTTGGGAGGCTATATGAAAGCATTTACAGCTTTTATTACATTAAAATCAGGACTTTCTTGATCTGCTTTTTCCATCAACTCGACTATTTACGACGTTGACACGGATAATTAAAATTATTATTTTTTTCATATTATTTAAATCTCCCAACTCCTTTCAAAATGTACGATACATAAATTCAACTAAGATTAATTTAAACTTTCCTATATTGCATTTTTATGCAACATAAAGGTCTATATGTTTTTCCAAAACATAAAAACAAAACTCATGTGAAACACTTATATTCCACAGACATTTCAAACAAAACAAAACATTTTTATTATGTTACCATATGTACACCCATATTCATTATGGTTAGATCGATGAAGTCATTTTGAGAATCTGAACAGATTTAAAACGGTGATTGTGAACCAATTTAAATTGCCTATAACTCAAAACTTACCAAGCTTGAAGTCACCCAAAGCCTTGAGTCACCTAGAACATAATCTCTTCAAATTATTAATAGTTTAGCCTAACTCAGCCCAAGTTATTAAGTTATTGAACTCACCCGAAGAACCCACAAAGTTGTCCATTCGTCAAGGCTATTCACCCAAAAGAACTCTGCAATTTACAGATAGCACTCAACAACTAACTCGAGGTTCTGTATTTCAAACAACAACAACAACAACAAAGCCTTAATCTCACTACGTGGATTAAGATATTTGTATGTAAAATTAAACTTAAAGTGTTAGATATACCTCCATTGCGCCCTATTTAGTGTCATATTTTCATTAGTTTTAATAAATTAAGATCATTTTTTATACAATAAGCCCAAGTCTTCCTAGATCTACCTCTACCAAGTCTTCCTAGATCTACCTCTA